GCACCAAGTTTCACTGCCGGAGCCTTTCAGAGGCTGGGAGTGAACCGACGTGGGGAACAGCTAGAAAGCCCGCAGGAGACGGCAGACCAGGGCAGCCCCGATTGCCCCGAGTGAGGGACCCCAGCGCGCGTCTCCTTTTCCTCCGGGCGCTTGTACGTGGACTCGTTCGCGTTCTCTTTTCTTTCTTTTGTAAGTCGAAAGTTGTTCCTGCGACTTTTTGTCTGCAAAGCACGGGGTTCCCTTTACGTAACAAGAAGCTGCGGGTGTGTGCGCGCGCCGGGGGGCGGCCCGGCCCGCACCAGCCCTCCGAGCCCGCTGCCCGGCCCGCGAGCCCCTCCCCGCCCCGCCGGCCCCGCCCCGCGCGCGGGCCCAGCTGCGGAGGAAAGGGGCTGCAGGTGACTGTTCTAAACCCCGAGCCTCGTGCGGTGACCCAGAGCCGTTCGTCCGATCTAGAGGAATGCGCGGGCCCCTTGCCTACCCTTCGCCCTTTTCACAAAGGTGAGGTGTGTGCGTGAAAAGGAGATCGCGCCCAGGAGATCGCGCCCTTAGAGATGTCACTGAAGACAAAGCCGAGAGACACGAGCCACAGCGAATTATGCAAAGATGCCCAGGGTAGGGAGCTGTTTTCTTTTGCCCCCAGGAAGATCGGTGCTTCCCAGATCTGAAACTCTTGGTTGGGATGGACGTCAACCCTGTTTCCTACCGAGTTGGTCTAGGCCCGGGCTTATTAATTTGCATTTCTAACAAGATGCTCCGCGGGGCTCCTCCTGCTGCGATCTTCAGCCCACACGTGGAGCAGTTCAGTTAGTAGGGGGCCAGGGGGCTTTACAGTGCAAGTGGGGAAAGCCAGTTCTCAAGGGTGGTGGTGAGGGAATGTTTTCTTTTTCCCTGCAGGCATTAGATTCTCACCTGGTGGAATGGGTTAAGTGGAGTTTCTCTTCTTCAAAAAGCAGGTGCCACCTAAAGTGTGCTAATGCATACCTGTAATCCCAACTTTGGGAGACTGAGAAGGGAGAATTGAAGAGTTCTAGACCAGCCTGAGTTACATAGTGGGAAGGGGAGAGAAGGGGAAGAAGGGCAAAGTGGCAGAGAGAGGAAAGGAAATATAAAAGGAGTAGTCACAGTTTGCCACAACTCTGAAGGTGGAGATTGGACAGATGTTGATTTGAGGACTATCCAGGCCAAAAAAAAAAAAAGTTTGGAAGACCTCAACCAGTAAGAATTGCACAAGATGTTGCACATCAATAAGCTTAAATTGGAGATCAAGGTTCAGGTCTTCCAAGGCAGAACATTATCTCAAAAATATACCCAAAGCCAAAAGGGCTGGGGGCAGGATTCAAGTAGTGATATGAAGCCCCGGATTCAACCCTCCCCCCCCCCCACCGCATTATGGCCAAAAAGAAAGAAAAAGAGAAAGAAGAAAGCAGATGCCTCTAATAATAAGAGCACCCAGAAAGGAAATGGCCACATTTTGAAGTGTTCATTCAAGTTCAAAGAAAGAGGCCCTGAAGGGAATTTTTCTGTGTTTCAGAAGTTGCTAAATTGAATGGCATGTGAAGTCCATTTGCCTTTACTACTCCATATATGAAGTATAACAACCAGATGAATCAATTTTTAGTATGAGTACATAACTTAGGGTCCAAATAAGTAAAAGAGTTTATATATTTAGCGGTAAGTGAAGAAATCACCAGGAGCTACAATGATCAAGAGATTTGACAATGTTTGAAACTGTGGCTTGAGGTAGACCTTGAAGAATGAGGACAAGTAGAGTGGAGAATGTTCTTTCCTGGCAGACAGACTAGGGCCCTGAGGCTGCCCTGGATGGGAGCTGAAGGCTGCTATCAGGGGTAAAGGATTTTGAATCTCAGTCTACATGTACTGAATGGTATCATCAGGACATTTGAGAGCTCTTGAAGATTGTATGAGCGTGGGATCCCCTGGTGTGAGACAGTTTACAGATGCATTAAAGCAGGCAAGTTGGAGATGTTGACAAAACCCAGAGAAAGGGCCTGTCGCAGAAACTGGAGAGAGAAGAGTCTCCAGAAGCAGGATGAAGGGGTTGTTGTCATGGTAACCTCATATAGATAGCATGCATACTAATAAGTAACTGAACAAACCAAATATCTGTTCCTGGTAGAAAGTGAAGGTGACAGCACAAAGACAGGAGTAGGGCAGAGGTTCTAAGTTCATGGTGTAGATGGTTAGCTCTTTGGAGGATCCGGGATGTTTCAAGACTCCGTGGTGATGGCTAATGTCACTAATGAGAACTGGACAGGAAGAAGAAGTTGTAAAGGCAAGCACTCCTATTTCACGTGTTGAAATGTTTGTCCTTTGGGTCTGAATTCCCTGAGTAAGATACCACTGGATTTCAGCATCTCAGAAATAAAAAACATGTCTGCAGAACACTGGGCATTCTTTCTTAAGGCTTGACATTGAAGATTGACTCAACTAAATACAAGGCAACATGCCAAGTAACTTAACCATGGGACTGCTTGCAAGAATATTTTTTTAAAAAAAGAAAACAGGCCAGCTAGTGAAAAAAAAATTAATAAGGCAGGAGACTTTTTTTCTTTAATATAAAACAAAAGATGACATTGCAAAGCTGTGAGCCAATGCTAACCAACTTTTTTTTTTTTTTTTGAGACAGAGTCTTGCTTATGTGGCTTATTCGGGTCACAAACTCAGGATCCTCTTGTCTCAGTCTTCCAAATGCTGGGGTTACAGAGGTACACAACCACACCCAGCTCTAAACAGTTTTAAGAAAGCAATATTATGTTTTAAAACCCTATCTATTTGGACAAGCTGAAATAAGAATGAATTTGTTTGGAAGAAAAGATCTAGGTAGCCTAGACTTGTTTCCAAGTTGTTATTCATTTTAATGTCCATACTCCAAATGTCACCAAGAGTACGACATGAATAAATCACAGGAAAGAAATTAATCAAGACTTTTTGCAGTGCTGAAGGTCTTTGAGTTGTGGAAAGTCCCTCCCTCTCCCTCTCTGACAGTACTGGGACTTGAACTCAGATCCTTGAGCTCTGGCTTCGTTTTTTTCACTCAATGTTGATTGGTGTTCTATGACTTGAGCTCCATCTCCATATCTGGCTGTCTGCTGGTTAATTTGGAGAAAAAGAGTCTCACAGACTTTTCTGCCCAGCCTGGCTTCAAACCATGATTTTCAGATGTCAGCCTCCTAAATAGCTAGGATTACAGGCTTGAGCCAGTGGCACTCAGCTTAAAATATTTTAATTTGTCCCTTGTTCCAGAAAAAGAGAGAAGCTGAGAAGGACCCAACATGGTACTTTATTATAAACAAGACTTCTATATATGAAAGGAAATTGCTACAGCCAACATCATCTTTAAAAAAAAAAAAAAACCAGAATCAGATCTGAATGCAAGGGAATTCTAGTTCTCAGAAACGAAACTGAGAGTAGTAGTGTCCATGGAGAGCAAACTGTAGAACTGAAATCTTAGCATCATTTCACAGATGAGAAACTGAGGCAGAGAGAGGTTGTATGGTTGCCACAGCAATGAAACAACAGTGCCTAAACTCTAATTCGGGTCTTCTGAGAATCTTAGCCTGTTGCTCTTTCTTCTGCATACACTTTTGTTTGCATATACATTATGGCGTTTTAATAAAAATCCTTTTCCAGTTCATTAAAGGCTATATAGTTTTGGACAACTTTCAAATATTTTCTAAATGTTAAATCAGTAAAGTCTTGCTTCTCTCCACCCCTCCCTCCCCATCCCCTTTGCATTAAGGTTAAAGCTGTAAACCAATCAAAGTTTGGAAAAAATGTCTAAACTTTAATTTTAGCAAATAAAAAAAAAACCTACATACAATTGCATGATTCTTTTCCCCCATTCCATAGTTTAAGAACATTAGAGCCCCAAAGTAAGTCTGAGATGATAAAGAAGGCAGTATTGATTGCCAGGTGGTACACATACACTCACCCACTGAGCTGCCCTGGCCCTATGCCTAGATTCTTCCTCTCCTTTACCCCACATTAACTTTTCCAATTGCATTCATCATCTGAGAGGAGCGTACATAGAGCATTATTTCAAGGAATACGTTGGTCATCTCTAATTAAGATAAAGATGTACATTTCCCAGCATTTCCACATTTACTAAAACCTTTCAGAGAAGTGTAAATAATATGAGTGTGAATGGGAGAGAGAGGGGTAAGAGGAAGAGGGAGAAGGGGGAGCAGGGACAAGATACTCCCAGTGACCTGCCCCTCCCTGAAAGTTCCCAGAACTCCCCCAAATAGCACCACCTGCTTAAGCCCAAGCCCCCAATACATGAGGTTTTTAGGGGAACATGTCATATCCAAACTGTAACACTAGCCATTCTCAAAACGGAGAAGTTGATCATCAAGAAATGGATCTCAGCAGTTCCTTAGGGGAGTGGCTGAGTTTTGGGGTAAAATCAATTCTTTCAATCAATAACTAGCATCTTTCTATGAAGAACCATATGTTCACTGAATTATATTTCCACTATCAACATTATTAATTTAATGGGGCCTTGTTTTGAAATAATGTCACTATTTTATTTTATTTGCATTTTTATTGTGATTGATTACATAAATTTCACAGTATTGTGGGATAGTGATACTTTGTTAAAGTCACAAACACAT